CCTACTGACTCCCCACCCCTTCCTTGCAGCACAGCGCCCCCTACTGAGGCCACACACCTCCATCCCTGCAACACAGGGCCCTCTTGTGCTGCAGGGAGCCCGTCCCCCCACTCCCTGCAGCACAAGCATCCCCTAGTGACCGCCTGGAGAATGGCTCACAGGTGATGCTGATTTTGTAGAGATGGCGCAGCGAGGAGGGGCTGCCACGACCTGGCACGTAGTCCCCAAGCCCAATGGTGCTGAGCGAGATGAAGCAGAAGTAGACAGACTCCAGGAAGGTCCAGCCATTCTCCAGGGCCCAGAAGCAGAGGGCTGGCAGCAGGATAAAAAGCCCCAGTACACCCAGTCCCATGGCAGCTGCGTGTCCCAGTGCTGCATGGCCTGAAGAGATGCCCCAGTGGGTGTGAAGATACTGAACGGGCCGGTGGCTCAGCAGCCCCATGAGTCGCTGCAGGAGACAGGTGGCCAGGAGCAGGGTGGCTGGGAGTCCCAGCAGGGTGTAGAAGATGCAGAAAACCTTCCCCCCATCCGACAGGGGCACCGTATGGCCATAGCCTGGGGGGAGAGAGTCAGTGGGGAGGAGAAGGGGGAGGGGGCGGTACCCCTCACTCCCAACCCGTAGTTTACTGCTATCCCAGCTCTGCCCCCCATACCCCACCCTAGCTCTACCAGTGCCACTCACTCCTGACCTGCAGCCCCCTCCCCTGCCCTCCTAGCCCTTGGCTCCCTTCACTCCCCCCCCGCCGCCAGTGCCCCTCAATCCCAACCCACAGCCCCCTGCTCTCCCAGCCCTAGGCTCTCTTCACCCCCCACCCCTGCCGGTGCCCCTCACTCCCAACCCGCACCCCCCCGCCCTCCCAGCCCTTAGCCCCCCCCCCCCCCCCCCCCCGCCAGTGCCCCTCACTCCCACCCCGCAGCCCCCCGCCCCCCCACCCAGCTCCCCCCGCCCCGCCCCGCCCCGCCCCTACCCGTGGTGGTGAGGACACTGGCGGCGAAGAACAGCGCCGAGCTGAAGTCCCAGTTCTCGTCGTCGGAGACGTTGCCCAGCGCGGAGATCCCGTAGCTATCGGCGTCCAGCACCCGCTCCAGCAGCCGCTCCAGGCCGGGCTCCGACAGGCAGCTCTGGTGCTGGCGCACGAAGCCGGCCCTGGCGCCCCGCAGCGCCTCCCGGAGCCCGGCCTCCTGCGGCGCCTCGACGCCCACGAAGACGGCGGTGCCCAGCAGCAGGAAGAGCCCATAGGAGCCCAGCAGCAGCCAGTAGCGCCAGGGCTGGGGCACCGCGGGCAGCTCCATGGGGCCAGCCGGGCCGGGCACAGGGGATTGGGGCAGCGGCCGGGGCGGCCCGGGCCGCTGCTTCCTGGCCGGGCCACACCTGCCGCAGGTGGAGCTGGCTGGGCCCCGGGCCAGGCAGGTGCAGCCGGTTCCTGGTGCTGCTGAGCTGGGGGTGTTAACCCTTCCGGCGCCGGCCTGGCCCGGGAGTCCAGCTCGGCTCCCCCAGGGCTCTGCGGAAACCCCCAGAATGGACCCTGCAGTAGAATCGACTCCCTCAGCCGTGCGCAGGGAGGGCCCTGAACCCGGAGAAACAGCCCAGTGGGGAGGGTGCGAGGCTGGGAGCCAGGACTGGGCTCTACCCTAGGGAGGGGAGTAGGGGTCTAGTGGTTAGAGCAGGCGGTTGCGAGCCAGGACACCAGGGTTCTACTCCTAGCTCTGCTGCTGACCTTGGACAAGTCTCTTCCCCACTTAGTGCCTCAGTTTCTCCTCCCATCCTGTGTCTAGTCAGACCGGGAGCTGTACAGGGCAGAGGCTGTTTCTCCCTGTGGGTCTCTGCAGCAATGGGGGCCCCAATTTCTGCCAGGTGCTGCACAGACCCACAGGGAGAGGCAGACCCTGACCTGAACAGCTCCAGTCCCAGTCAGATTAGACAAAGACAGGATCATTCCCTATTTTACCGATGGGTAGGGTTGCCAGCCCTACCGGAATTGGCATTGGCATCGATCTCCCGGTAACTATTGAAAGCAATCCGGAGATTTTAATAGGTACGGTACAATTAATGACATTACATCATGTTGGGGTGAGGGGAAATCTCCCTGAATAGCTTCAGTCAGAGTTGGCAACCCTGCAGATGGGGGAAACTGTGGTGCAGGGGAGAGGCAGGGACCCACCCATGATCCTGCATGGCATCTGCAGCAGAGATGGGATGTGAACCCAGATGTGCTGATGCAGCCCCCCCAATCACAGAACCCTTCTCCCCTCCCCCATTACGGGCAAGGTTCTTCTGCACAAAATATCCAGCAAATCTCAGAGATCCCAGCGTACAAAGGGTTAACCCCTGAGCGCTCCAAAGGGGGTGGGGAGGACTGACTGGGGGAGGGAGGGTCTGCTCCCAGCAGCTGCATGGGGGTGACAGGAGGTCAGGGCAGGCATGTGTCTGGCTAGGCTATTGAAAGTGGCTGGCATTGGGGAGGGGGGTCAGTGGGGCATGAAGCCGCCCTCCACCCCCAGGGACTGGAAGTGTGTGTGTGTATACAATTGAAACCAACAGCGACCCCCTACACACACACACACCAGCTGGGATCTTTTGCAATAATCGTTGGCAAAGCAGCTGGTCTCTTTGGGCAGCCGTTCAATGGGGAAGACCAGCACTCCAGGGGCAAAATGAATGGGTGCAGGGATCTCATTCTGTCTCCTAGAGCAGCCATGCCCCTCCCCTGCCCCCAGGGCTGTTGCCCCACACCAGGGACCTCGGGTCACACGCAGAGGCCACTTGTGCAGACAGAAAGAGTGTGGCCAAGCTGTGAGCATTCACACGTGTTTTGCACCAGGCCTGGGGTGGATCAGACCAATGGGCCCATCTAGCCCGGTATCTTGGCTGCTGGATTCAGAAACCTGGCAGCTCTGGGATAATTTAGCCCCACTTAAAGGTTCCGCCAGACTCCAGGAAACTGAGGCATGGCTCTGTGTTGCTGAAGCTTAGACCCCAACCAAAACTGTGGGAAACTGAGGTATAGTTCAGTATTGCTGTAACTAAAATCTCAGCCAAACCCCAGGACTGGAGGAACCTTTTCCTAGGGACAAATTATCCCATAGCTGAGTGGGTTTTAAGCCAGCCACAGGACCGGGCTAGATGGAACCATTGATTATTTTTTACCTCATCTAACTCTGGATATGGTGGCTATATCCCCCCCCCTCTTTTTTTTTGTAATAAGGCTGAATGGAAGTCTAGTTGCAATGAGTCCCACAGGCAAAAGGTGTATGTTTTGGCAGGGGGGAGGATTTCTTGCAGGGCAGTGCAGAAACAAGAGGTGAAGATTAATAGGATAATTGAGAACCAATAATGAACTGAGAATGAGGAAATGATCCCTCCCTGGAATGCTGTGCTGGAGAATCCAGATATGAAGTAACAAGGAACTGAAAGAATATTGTAATGAAGTAAATACAATAACAACCACACAATATTGTTAATGAATATAATTAAATAATTAATCAAGATGTTAATAAAATAATGATTACATTATTAACCCATGACAAATCATACATAATAAAATTTACACATAAATATAATTAAAGAATGAATATAACAGTGAAATAATACATAAAAACATTATTAACAAAATAAAATAAACAATTATAGTCTCAATTACTAGTTATAAAATTAATGAAATACATTTATACTATTTTGCAATCAAGTTAAGCATAAAATAAAGCTATTTTATTAATTATAATAATTATGTTATATTAACAAAATTATATTAAAATATAGTAAACACAAATAAACAAAATAGAACATTAAAACATAATAAAATACAATAACATTAAATGATAAGCCAACAATAAAATAATGTTAATATTTAATAATTATAAAATATATAACATAAAATTATAATTATTGCTATAAAATTAATACAATAAAATAATTATACCAATTAAATATATCAATAAATATAATCAATGAAAGAAAAACACTACAAATAAAATATAACTAATTAATTATAAAACAATATAATCATAAATCAGATAAAATTAAATGATAAAATTTAATGAAATATAATGCACAATATAATCAATAAAATAACAAAAATAATTAATCCAATGAACGCAATAGTTAATAAAATGTGATATATACAAGAATAAAATCAATAAGATATATTTTAAAATCAGTTAATGAAATAAATAAGAAACATTAACTACAACAGGGAAAGCAATAGAAAATATGTGAAAAAATAAAAATGAAATTAACCCAATAAAAAGGAAATGCATAATAAGAAGAAACAAAATAGAGGAGGACACACGTCATAAAGTGGAGAGAGAATACATTTTTAAAAAGTCAGTAAAGACAAATTTAATGTTAAGAAACCATAAACAATTCATAAGTATAACAAAGAGCTCATACAGTGTACATTTAAAAATAAATTATTAATGTAAAACATGATGACAAACAGTACTAATATGACTGACTGTGTGGATGAATAAATGACAACACATAGATACTAGACTGCAGGGGAGAAGCCTACACCCCGGTTTGGGGTTGTGTGGGGGAGACTGTAGGGGGATGATTCTGCACTCAGAGTGTGCAGAGGAAATAAACCTTAAGGGGCGATCCTGCCCTGCAGGCTGTGGGGGCTGGGTGGAATCTGGGTTTGATACAACCCTGATATATACCCCCCCACACGCCTGCCTGCCTGATCCCCTTTAGCAACGGAACCAGAGCTCCCTCCTTCCCCTGTGCATCTCAGGGGTGCAGTGAAGGGTTAATTCCTCCCCTCCACCCCGCTCTTGCCCCACAGCCCAGCTCCAGTGTGAATTCTCTGTCTGGGGGGATGACTCATTGGAACCCTCTCAGCACGTGATGTGCCTATAATAGGGGGTCCTTTTGTGTCTGGTGCAGGCAGGGATCACGTGTGGGGGCACCTGCCATCTGCCACTGCCCCCCACTCCCTGGGGACCCCCTAACCCTGCTGCCAGCCCCACGGCCATTGGCTTCCCCAGCCCGACCATCTGGAGCTGTGGGGCTGCACAATAGGGGCGGGGGCTTTATATACAGGGCTGGGGCATATAGGACGCACAGACTGAAGGGAGTGGGGACAGCGCTGAGGTCCAGTCAGGCCGAGGAAGGCCCCAGAACTGGCACAAAGGCTGGACAGGTCAAAGGAGCCCCAGAATCAGCACTGAGGTGTGGACGGACTGAGGGAGACACTAGAATCAGCACCGAGGTGCGGACGGGCCGACGGAGCCCCCAGAACCGGCACTGAGGTGCAGACGGGCCGACGGAGCCACCAGAACCGGCACTGTGGTGTGGACGGTGCACCGAGGTGCAGACGGGCCGAGGGAGCCCCCAGAACCAGCAGTGAGGTGCGGATGGGCCGAGGGAGCCCCCAGAACCAGCACTGAGGTGCGGATGGGCCAAGGGAGCCACCAGAACCAGCACTGAGGTGTGGACAGGCTGAGGGAGCCCCCAGAACGAAGGGTGAGGCCGGCTGTGAGAGCCCCCAGGGCTGACAACAGTGAAGTTCTTACAGGCTGAGGGAGCCCCCAGACCTGGCACCAAGATCCAGACAGATCAAGCGAGCCCCCAGCACCCACAATGCCCCGCGGTTTCCTGGTGAAGAGAACCCATAAGGCAGGCCCAGCCTCCTACCGGATCCGAGTCCCCTCAGCTGAGCCTCTTGGTGCCAACCCCTGGTCTCCAGGCTGCCCCACACCACTGCCCCACACCCAGGGGAGCCCCGCTGGTGCAAGCCGGACTCCAGCATCCTGTTCCCTGCCCCAGAATCCTCTGCTGCCGGCAGCCTCCCCCTCCTCCTCGAGGCAGGGAGCCATTGTGTGCCAGCTGTGCCGCCAGGCCTACGGCGACCCGCCCTCGCTGGCCCGGCATGGCTGCTCAGGCCTGGTCCGCGTGGAGTACCGCTGCCCTCAGTGCCCCAAGGCCTTTGGCTGCCCAGCCAATCTGGCCTCCCACCGGCGCTGGCACAAACCCCGCGGGCAGGGGGCAGCCAAGGAGAACCAGAGTCCTGAGTCGGACACTGGGCCCAACTCCCAACAGGCTGACTTCGGCTGCGCCCACTGCTCCAGGCGGTTCCGGCGCCGCAGTGACCTGCACAGACACCTGCAGCTACACCAGGCCGGGCCAGGGCTGAGCCAGAGTCAGCATCTCCATGGCAACCGCCTCCCAATCCCCCTCTGCTTGCCAAAGGAGGGGGTTCTGGGCCTAGCTGTTAGCTCCCAGCCCTGTCCACTGGGGGCGGTTGTCTCCACCAGCCTTTCCCGGGGCAAGGGAGGTCTGATCAGCCCTCCCA